ACAGTTTTCCAGCCTAACATGACTTAAAAAGTTGGCAGGAAAGGTCTGTTGATTCAATGATCCAAGATAATTCCCAAGGACACAAGATGAAAAATGCTATCCACTTTCAGGAAAGAACTGATGAAGTCTGAATGCAGATTCAAGCATACTTTTTAAACTTACTTCAAATTTCTTGGGGTTTATTATTTGGGGGGATGGTTCTGTGTTTTCTTTTATAACATGACTAATATGGAAATATATTTTGTATGACTGTATGTGTAAAACCTATATCAGATTGCTTGCATTCTTAAGGAAAGGGGAGGGGAGAGGAGAGAAGGAATTTACAGCTCAAAACTTTTAAAAAGCAAATATTAAAACTTGATTTCACGTGTAATTGGGAAAAATAAAATATTAAATAGAACATCAACTGTGAAATACTTTGTAACTCCAATAAATATAATGATCCATTACAACTCTAAAGGATTCATAATCAGAAATTCTCTTCACATCTAGATAGAGAATAGATGGACTCAGAATCTGGTGGACTTAGAGTGCAGAATGAGGCATTTTTTTTCCCAAAAAATAAAGTTTAATAGAATTCTCCTGTGAATACATGATGACCAGGATTTTTTCCCTTTGATTAGTGCCTTTATAGTTAATTCTATTTCATTTTCTAAGATTCATCATATAGAATCCTTATTTGGTCTTTTGGTAGTTTGGGTATTTTATATTTTTTAAGGTACTGCTCTATTTCTTTTCTGTTCTCAGTTTTGTTAGCACATAACAGAGCATAATAGGTTTAACTTTTCTATTTATTTCTTCTTTTTTTGTGATTTCACTTTGATTATTTCTTGTCTTTGACTTTTCTGCCCTCTTCTTTTTAGTTTGATTGACCAAAGGTTTATAATATTTTTAGTCTTTCAAAGAAGCAACTTTTAGTTTTATCATTTCTATAGATTTTTTAATTTTCCAGTTGATTCATTTCTCCTCTGATTTTCAATTTTGTTGTTATTTTTTGAATTGTTTATTTATTACATTTTAATTTAAAATGCATGTCCAATTCATTAATTCTCTTTTTCTATTTTGTTAATGTCTCTCTGTAGGGAGATAATATTTTCTCTGAGGACTGCTTTAGCTATATCTAACAAATGTTGATGTATTATTTCATCAATAATTTTCTTTTACATAATTATTAATTTTTCCATGATTTATTATTTGACTCACTTGCTATTTAGGATTGTATTATTTAGCCTCCATGTGGTTCTAAGTCTTTTGTTTGTGGTCCCTGAACTGATTGCTCTTTCTTTTATTACCTTACTGTTTGTAAAAGGTGTATTTACTATTTCCACCTTTTTACTTTGGTTTGCATTATCTCTGTGCCTTAAAACTCGGTCAATTTTTATAAAAGTGTCACTTAGTGCTGTGAAATATGTATATTCTCTTGCAGTTAAATTTAGAAAATGCCATAAGTCTTTTTAACTATAGTTTCTCCAGCAATTTCTTCAGTTCAGTATTTTTCCTTTTGTTTGTTTTTTTGTTAGATTTATCCAAAACTGACAGCCAGTGAAATCTTTTGTAAATTAGGTGAAACAGTGGATAGAGTTTTTTAGTTGATTTTCTAGGGTTCTCTAAATATGCTATCATATCATCTGCAAAAAGTGATAGTTTTATTTCCTCATTGCCTATTCTAATTCCTTCAATTTCTTTTTTTTTCTCTTATTGCTAGAGGTAGCTTTCTATTACAATATTGAATAATAGTGGTGATAATGGGCATCCTTTTTCTTAACTTTTCTTTTACTGTTTATCACCATCCTCTTCCTTATTTCCCAGGCTATGTGTCATAGCCTTGATATAGCCTTTGTATGTGTCATCCTTGACTCTGTTAGGCAACTAGGTGGCTCAGTTGACAGAGTGGTCAGCATAGAGGTAGGTGAATGTTTGTCCTTGGGAGAAAGATAAGAAAGTGAACTTGTGAGGGTGAAGGTAGCATGCTATTGACTTGGTTTTCATTGAGCTACTTCCTTTCTCAAGAGGAAATTTTCCCACCTGGATAATTTTAAGCTTGGCTTTTGACACCTTTTGAAAAATGTGGAGCTTCAATTAGCTGTTAGTTATCCCTTTTGCCTGAAATCAAAACACAGGTAAGAGAGTTGTCCCCTTGTTATGGCTTCTCCATATCACTGTAATCATGTCCCTCCCTTTCCTTTCATAACAAATTTCTGTAATTGGGGCCTTGAATTTGGAAATGTGTGTGCAAATTAAAGCACTTCAGATTATAAAATGGAATCACATTGTAATGATTTAGGGCATACAATTGGCCATTAGTACTGAACCTTCTGAGTTATCTTAATAGGATGTAAATAGGAAATATCTTTTTTATTTTCTTCTGGCTTATAGTTTTATTTATGTACATGAAGTAGGAATAATATCCTCATAGTAGGGAAATTAGGGCAGCTAGTGGCTCAGTGGAGACAGTGTCAGACCTGAAGTCAGGAAGACTGATCTTCATGAGTTCAAATCTGGCTTCAGACACTTAAGTTGTGATACCCTAGGCAAATCACTGTTTGTCACTGCCCTGTTTGCCTCAGTTTCCTCAACTGTAAAATGAGGTTAATAACAGCTCCTACCTTGCTGGGTTGTTGTGAGGATCAAATAAGATATTTGTAATGTTCTTAACACAGTGACTGTTACACAGTAGGCTAGTAAGTTCTATATAAATGTTTATTCCCTTCTCTTCCTGTCTGCTGTCATTATTACATCACTGTCTATGACTTCTTGTAGGTCTTAATATTTCCTTTATGATTTTAGATATTTAGGCATTTCAAGCATATAAATTGAATATTGATATTGGTTTGTTGTTGGGGTAGCTAGGTGGTGCAGTGGATAGAGCACTGAACTTGGAGTCAAGAAGACCTTAGTTCAAATACAGCTTCAAATATTTATTAGCTGTGTAACCCATGGCAAATTACTTAAGTTCTGTTTGCCTCGGTTTTCTCACCTATATAATGGGGATAATAACACCCACCTTTTGGGTTGTTGTGAGGATCAAATGAGATAATAAGTATAAAGCACTAAACACAATGCCTGGGACATGGTAAATACTTCGTAAATATTACTTATTATTGTTGTTTTCATCCTCCTCCTCCTCCTCCTCCTCCTCCTCATCATCGTCACCATCATCATCGTCATCGTCGTTGTCATCATCATCATTGTCGTCATCATAATCATCAATGGTTTCTTTTAGCATAATGCAATTTCCTTGGTTACCCCTTTGTGTATTTTAAATATTGTGCTTTTGCTTTATCTGATAGCATGATTGCAAATTCTGGGGTGTAGTTGTTTCTTTTGATGCATAGTACACTTTTATTTTGGTCCTTCATTTTTATTTTGCATTTGTCTTTTTTTTTAAATGTATTTACTTTAAGCAACAGATTGTTTTGTTTTCTTATCCCATCTATTACTCTTTTCATTTTCTTGGCTTATTTCATCCATTCACATTTAAAGTTATGAGAGTTAGGTTTATATTATAATCCATTTGTCTGTAATTTTTTTTAGCTCAAATTATAATTTTACCTCTTCTGTTGCAAACACAGTACTATGTCTCTTCAGTTGTTTTAGCTTAATCATTTTAAGGCAGCCATATTCCCACTCACCCTCAAACATTGGCCCCCTCCTATCTTTTTGACCATTTCATCTGGTTTTGGAGTTTTGCTAATTAGTTCCTTTTCATTTCTTGCTTTAATTTGGTTATTTAATTCTTCTCTCCCCCTCCCCCACCCAGTTAAACAGTCAAGTAGAATCCCCCTTCCTCTCTTACCTTTCAATTTGTTTTGTTTGTTAGGTTTTTAAATTTTTCTTTTTTATGTACTTTTTTTCTACAATAGGTTTCATTTCCTCATTCTGTTTATTATTTGTCTTCTGTTTATTCTAGATTTTCATTCTTTAGAACATGGCCCTTATAGTACCCAGGGAATGAAAAATTTTGATGTTCTTCATTTGGGTCTCTGTTCTAAACAGTTTTGATTATTGCCTTTAGAGCTTGCTCCCTTAATCCCACTTTCCCCCCACTAACTCTTAGAAAAATGTCACTCCCTACAGGTAATAGAGAGGATATTGCCCCATGTTAGGATTCTTCCCATGTTCCTGGTTATTTGGTTCATTATTGACTGTTGTTCTCCCCTTGGTCATTTTTCTCCATTGACCTCAAAAATTCTTCCCTTAATTGGGTCCTCCCACTTTTCAGAGTTTTAGTTGTCCCTTGTCATTTCAGACATGTTCAACTCTTTTTGACCTCTTTTTAGGGTTTTTCTTGGCATAGATACTAAAGTAGTTTATGATTTGCTTCTCCAGTTCATTTTTACAGATGAGCAAACTGAGG